TCAAAAATTCTATCGATGCTTTTTATTTTGATTATTGGCAATTTCGTGTATAAAAGGTTTCTGCATTACAAATTGAACGTTTTGCAAATGAAATTCAATATTTAATAAATAAAATTGAACTTTATGATAAATAATCTAGAAAAATAATTTAAAAAACAAATGAAATTATAATATTTACAGTTTTTTCATCATATGTTATAAAATATTTATTGAAATATTTCTAATGAAATGTGTCACGTTCAAATTATTCGTAATATCGATTAATGAATTAGTATAGAATTTGATTAACAATGTACGCACCAGATGCGCGAATATTTGTGGTGACACGAATAAACAAACACCTTCTGTCATTATTTTCACTGTTGATATCCTGGCGTGGTCGTGTTTCGTTGTCGATGACAGGATGTCCAATTGTGAAGTTCGCACGAAAGAGCCGTTTTTTTTCGACTGTAAAAACTGATTTCATAAAGAGTAATGTCGCCGTTGAAATGCCATTGCAGGAAACGAAGAAAACACGTGTATGTACGTATATACATATATATATACTCATATATACATGTCTCTATATTTACACTTATGCATATATATATATATTCTCTCTCTCTCTCTTTCTTTTCTATTTTTTTCCTTCTCTCTTTATTTTGCCGCAACCGAGATAAAACTTTACGAACGCGGCGGTAGACTTTTTATCGTTGGGATAGGCGAAAAAACGGGAAGAGTTTTATAAAACTAGCAAACAAACTTGTTCCGTTTTACATTACTTCCATTTGTAGTTTTATCGTTAATATTTTATTCCAACTTTAATGAGATATATAAATGCATAAATAAATATGAAATATTTTATTATATATATACCTACGCAAACAACAAATAGTTTCCAATGATATTGCATCAATATCTATTTTCGATCATATTTGGTTTCATAAACAAATTTTTATACTCAAATTTGCTTGCTTATGAGAACGAAATGTAATAACTTATTATTATAATAATTGTTTTCAAATACGGAACATTTTGATAGCATTTAGTTTCACTTATTATTTTAACATTAAATTCCAACTCCAATGAGATATATTAATGTTGAAATAATAATAATAATAATAATAAAGTATTTTTGTATATATTTAAATATTTTTGATTTTGACGGTCCTTCGTATTAAATCCAATTTGTTAAATTTTACACAAAAAAGAAATGTAATATTTGTGGAAATTATTTTATAGATGATTTTGTTGTCCAGTTATAGAAATTATAATACAAATCTCTTTTAACGGACTTTGATATTTAACATGTAACTAGAGTTATAGAGAATATTAAGACCAATCCAACGAGTATCTACATTTTATCCCTTTATCGATATTTTATCGAGTTCCGGAGCTTTGAAGTTTAACGAACTTTGTAAACGTAATAATTCGATCAATTTACTTGTAAATATCTGACACTAATGAATTTATCAATCAATTTTTTTTCTTCTTTTATTTTTTTATTAATTTAATTTTTATCGTATTTTCGAATGGTAATAATAATTTTTTTTTTAATTTTCGTGCTTTAAATAATGTTGAATATTTTGTATTATTTTCTTATAAAATTTATAAGATATAAAAATATTCAAATTTATAATATAAATATAAAGAGAGAAAAAAAAGGAGAATATACGATAGATATATCTCGATTGAAAAAAAAGAAATCAAACTAAATTTCAAACGCTTTAATAATTATTCAATATTTAAAACCGAACAGAAAATTTCTTTGTAAACGTTTTCCAATACTGCGAATTGTTTCGATTTTATTAATAAAAAAAAAAGAAAGAATTATTTTATTCTTTTAAATCATTTATTACCATGTTTGATCGCATCCTATGGGGTTTTTGGCAATTCGTTTTTTCGTTCCATTATATAAATATCATTTTGAAACGTTTTAAAATTAAATTTACGTGAGATAACATTTTTAAAACTACAAATTTATTCCATTCAATTTTATAAAATTCTGAAAATAAAAAAATAAAAAAGAAAACAAAACAAACAAAAAATGAAATTATCTCTTTTATTGTATCAACAAAAAAATTACTTATAAAAAAAGAAAAAATTAATAAAAGTACAAAATACGGGTATATTGATTTTTACAAAATGAGTTTTCCAATCAACGTGTCAACAAAATACAAAAAATATCACGTATTTTTTTTTACATTTTTTTTTTATTTACCGCTCACAATTATTTGATTTAGATGAAAAAAAAAAAAAATAAGATGAGAATAAAAATAAAAAACAAAATAGGAATTTTCGTTTTTCGCGGAATGTTTCTTCATAAGGAATTTTTAGATTCGTAGGATGTGGTTGACCTCTCGCGATAGATTTTGTTCCCTCTCCTCATTCTCTTTTCCATTCCCTCCTATTCCCTCATCCCACCGTGGTATTGACTACCTCTCCCTGCCTCTTTACCACCCCTTCCCATACCGTTTCCTATCCATGAGATACGATGTGCAGGTCACGAAAGAGGAACGCTGGGAATATCGAAAACGATTCTTGCATTGGTGGAGAGCCAAGAATAGATTACAGCGTGAGAGTGGACATTGAAAGAATCTGTACCACGAAGAAAGGCCAATGGTATCGTACATTGTGTTCGAATTTTCGATTTTTTCTTTTCTACGTTCATTTCCATTTTATTTTTTACTTGATTGTTCTTTATACAATCGTAGAAAATTTCAACAAGACGCGAAAAACGTTAAGTATACTTATACAAATATTAGCCAAATGTTTGATAAATGCAATCATTTTTATCTTTCAGTGGTAAATATAATAATATAAATATAATAATAGAATATACCCTAGAGTAGCACAAAATATTGAAAAATATTGAATAGATGTGTATTTAATATTAAAAAGACATTGAATCTCTTTTTAATATTAAATACATGTGTATTCAATATTTTTCAATATTTTGTGTTACTAGAGTAATATAGTAAAATATAAATATAATAATAGAATATAATATATAGTAAAATATAAAATATAAAGTATAAATATAATAACCGCGAAAAGTAATCAAAATTCTTTTTGGTTGGCGAAAAATAAATAAAATAGTAAATACTACTAATAAATATAATTTCCACCATTTTTTACTACTTGTAGCCAGCGTATAGGCGTAGTTCTTCGATTCCCATTTTAAAAAAGTTCATTGAGTTTTCATTGAGAAAATTTTCCACATAGATTTTCACTTCATTAACATTGTTAAATTGTTTACTTTTTAATGTTTGTTCTACCGATTCGAAAAGGTAGTAATTTGACGGCGCGAGATCTGGTGAATCGGGTGGATGAGGTAAAAGTATCAATTCAAGCTCTCTTATTTTATTTATTGTTTTTGTTGTAGCGTGAACCTTCGCGTTATCTTGTTGAAGCGTCCTTTTTTTTTTATTGATCAAAACAGATTGTCTTCTTATTAGTTCTTGTTTCAGTCGCTCCAGTTGTTTACAATACATTTTCTCTGTAACAGTCTGATTAGATTCAAGTAATTCATAGTATATGATTCCAGACAAATCCCACCACACACAAACAAGGATTTTCTCAACAAGTGCTTCTTCGGAATAAAGGCATTGTGTATTTTGTGCAGGATTATTACATACCACCCACTTTTTATCTGCAGTTATAATTTGTTCCAAAAACGAATCGGTATTATTCCAAGACAAAAGAGACGCCAAGATGATACTTCGTAGATCGATCATCATCTGCGGCAATTCATGAAAAATCCAAATTCCATTATTGTACGATTTTCCTACGCGACGAAGATGATCCTGAACTTTAAGCCATGATAATGATGACAGCCAATCTTCCATGATAATTCCTCACTTGTTATACGAGGATCTGAATTCATCAACTCCTTTAGGATTTCACTATCTAATAGTAGGATATCATTAGGATCTCTATTTCCTTCCTTAAACTGTTGAAACCATCTATGACACTTGTTTAAAATTAAAACTTCCCCGTAAATATCGATAATTAGGTTTAATGCTTCTACTGGATTAATTTTTTGATCGTACAAAAATAGCAGATTTTAACATAATTGCTTTTCTTCTATTTCTGGCTTTGACATCTTTTCTCTTTGATAGAACAATAATTTGTTAACTGAAAAATAAAATTTACAATCAAGCTTGAACGTAATAACAAAATTTCCGTGTTTGCAGGACCGTGTCTCAACACAAACTAACTGTGAATGAGCTTATCGAAAAAATTTGGATTATTTTTCAGTCCTCCTAATATAATAAAGTTGATATTATTTTTATATTTAAAATATCTTGAATATATATATTTATATCATCATCAAACTTTCATGTGTACTGATTTTTGTTTCTGAATATCTTTTGAACGCTTAATTTAATCGCCAAAACATAAGACACCATTTTTATAGAGCAGTTAATTTCCTACAAAAATTTGTATTGTGCACTTTTTAATAGTCATTTATTGTCGAGTTATAAAATTCATAAACAAAAATGAAATTTGTCTAAAAATCATCAAATTTTAATCTTCAATATCATTTAAATGGTGAGGTTTACGGAAAAAATATAAGATACCTTTTTTGTAGAGCATTAAATTTCCTACAAAATTCGTCTAGAACATTTTTCTGTACAATCAATAAATAATGAGGTATGAATTTTAATCTATTGAACTGAAAAAAAAAAATAAAAAACTGCGATGCGAAGGATCTTCCTATTAAAATTAAGAACTCATATTTGGTGAGAATTGTTTTAAGGTGTCTAACAATCCATTTTTCCGTGGCACTTGAAAAAAAAAGAAAGTCATTTTTTTGACCCACCCTAATATATATATATATATAAATTCAATTTGTGTAAATTATTTCTCGCTTTGTTATAAATAACAATAAGTTGTAATCAGTGGTGTTATTATCTTCAACTCGACGACATAAACTCAGCGGTGTATCTTTCAAATCGTATTAAAGATAATATAAATTGTATAATAATCGTTTGAATATCTTTTTTTTTATCTTTCAGGATATCGATCATGCAGATGTATTAACAGTCGGCTTTGAAGTGGATGGCGTCAAGCGTTTGTTAGATCTCCGATTAAATACCGATCTGATACCAGTTGGCTATCAACAACGTTATCAGCATCGTGGCACGTACAAAGTCCATACACCGTCGAGAGTGGTAAGTTGAATAGTTTATTAACGAATTCCCTGAAAGATAAGAATTAGAACTTTTTAAATTGAGTTTATATTCAATGATTAATAATCATTGTTTATAAAAAGTATTCTTATCAGTTATTCGATATGAGACCTTCTATAAATTTTAATATTTTCCCGTGATTCTTTATGAAAACATTTTTCTTGTGATTTCGATACTGATAAACAATTTAAGAAATCCATAAATATATGTATTATTTAATACAAATAATAGGAAAATAGTAGATTAATTATTTTAAGGTTATTTAATAGGTAGGAAAGCCTTAAATGAGATCATCATATTTGTGTCCATAATTATGAAGATGGTCTAAGTCAAAATTAGAAAAAAAATAAGCTTATCAGTTATTCATCACACTACATTTTAAACTAAATAAATTCAATATAATTTTCACGATATTGTTAAAAATGAATCATTGGATAGTGTTTTTTATTTCAATATTATATAGAATTCATTTAGTATTCAAATGTAATTCTTTTAATATCTCGAAACAAGAGATAATTAAATTCCTTTATAATTGTTGGCACAATTATGAAATGAATGTTAGAATTGTGTTTTATACAAAAAGACAGTGTTAATAGTAACAAACGTTTAGTAATTAATTTAGTAGGAAAATTGTCTTTTGTTTTTCCATAAGAAAGAAACACCAACATAAGAAAAATGCTACTAAATCGACTACTAATTTAAATGAAAACAATGTTAGTAGTAGTAGTTGTGGTGGTGGTGGTTGTGTGTTAAGTAATTGGGTTAGTAAAATGGTTGTTTTTGGTTTTTTTTATAAAACTACTCTAACCATAGGAAAACTACAATTCTATTAGAGTAACTAATTAACTTGATAGAAGTGTCAGTTGGTTAAAATGTTTTTGTTATGAACGTGTTGCGAGCATTACACGAATTGGTACAACATAGAATTGTATTTCAAACAAAAATATTTGGACCATATTCAGCAGTTTCATAAAGATTTAAAAGAAACCATCGTTCTTGATAATGAATTAAATCGAAATAGTACAAATGAGAATAGATATGGCAATTAAACACGATTGACGATATTATGTTTCATACAAGCTAATAATAATTATAATATGGACCGTTTATTTTGAAAGATATCACGTAATTTATGCTTAATTTAATGTTAACTTTTTATGGATAACTAGTTAATATTTAATTTGTACAATTTAAAATTAGTCGGTAAAAGAAATTGCGTAATCATTGATATGCAAACCTTTAATTTTCTCAAAACAAGAGAAAGTGGACTTACAACACTTTCAAAATAAACGGCCCATATATCCTATTTCTATTTCTATTCTGTAAATAGAATGTTTAATTCAAATAACACATCTTCAGTGTCTAAAATCAATTTGTTCGATCAATAATAGATTAACAACCACTCATGAATTTTCGTTTATTTATTTCCTTCTGTCTCTCTCTTCTTTCCTATAATTCGTTGTCAGTTAAAATGTAAAATTGAAATTTTTTCATCGATGAATCGTCAATGTTTTCGTACATGCAAACACTTTTTCGATTATTTCTTCTGGAACAGGTATAATATGTATGGCGTCAGTTAAAATCGATCGAGATGACTCAGACCACTTTGTTTGCAATTTTCTGTCTGGTATAGAATAGTACGATTCGTTCTCCGATTGGTCGATATTGTCACCGATGTAGTGGTCACTATGGTATTGCTCGTGTAATGCACGTTGAAAAGGGTGCCCTCGTGCTGCTTGGAACTTCCGCTTTATAATTCAACGGCACGAGAAGAGAGAGAGAAGGTCGATGCTGTTTGACGTTCGTCATCCGTTATATTCAAATCTACCATTTCTGTTTACAAATTTCACATTGTTTACTAATTATATTTTTCATTTCAAATTTTATATCAACGAACGTTTAAATTTGACAAAATGTTTCTTTCAAAAATATATTATATTTATGTAAAAAAAAAAAGAAAGTTTTTAAATGTATTCTCGAAATTATAATAGAATATAATGTTCGAATTGGTATCTACTCTGAATCATAGAAATATAACATTTTTTACTTTAATTTTTATATTTCTTACATTAATATAATTATGTAGATTTTACTTACTAGCATTGTGTATGATTATATTATATTGATATAAAAATATAACATGAACTATTTCGAAGAATAACAGATGTATAAATTTGTTAAAAAAAATCACTGAATTAATTGTTACACCTAATATACATTACTTTATATTATTATAATATTTTTCAAGAATTTTGTAAAATATCTTCCACCTGAAGTTATCTTTTTCTTCAAAAGAAAATTTGCAAAAGAAATTTTGTTCAAAATAAGTGTCTTATCAAATACTGATGGTATTTACTCACATAGAATTAATCTATAATGATTTTATCAAATTCTATCATTACGAATATACTTCTATAGGATATTATTGTTTATGTATAATATTTTGAAAACTTTGATTAGTGATATTATTATCGACTCGTTCTATCGAATTAAATTAAGACAACAGTACAAATTATCATACTTATTCCGTTTTGTAACATTTCAATCATCTACGATAGTAAAACCAAATAAGTTATGATTTACATAAAAGTAAAATTAAACGTTTTTTAATGTGAAGTATTTTAACATTTGGATTAACGATTAATTCGCATTAAATAATTTGACACTTTTTGTAAAATATCTTCGAACATCAATATGGAATTACGCAATTTGGTGGACAAAATCTGGAGTTGTTTTATTAATGGTGTCAGTATCAGTGATACTGTAGAGAGTTTAATGTTATTGAACTATTATGAGTTTATTGACGTATGTCAGGCAACAGTTGAGCACTGTTTTTATGATTTCAATACATATTATGACGAACAGGATTCAATAAGAAACCTTGATGCACCCTATATACATTATCGTCTTTTAGAAGGATTATTAGAAATTTATCCATCTTGGGAGATTTTTAAGTTTACGGATGCTGTAAAACTTCCCAATTCAACTGTTATTCGCTATATGGTACATATTGGTTACGTCTATTGCCATGAAACTGCTAAATGGCTTAAATGTAGGTGGAATTGAGTTAAAAAAAAAAAAAAAACAAACAAATTCCTTAATCAGATTTCTATGTGTTGTTTGAATTTTAAGTGAAACAACAACAATTTTTTTAATGAGATTGATTGCTGTGAATTAGATCTTTTTATTCGAATTCAGAAAATTATTTATCATGACAAAGTAACACACTGCTATAATAGATAATTTTAATCTTTTAGTATTTTAATATTTTAATATTTATAAATTTATTTCAATTCAAAGAATGTACACGTGAAAATGTATGGAAGTTGTATGAATTTGTTCTTCATCAACAAATTTTTATATAAAAAGAAACTGAATTATACTACTGACTAGAAAACTGAACTATATATATATATATATA